TGATTTGAACATCTTGGCCTTCATGGATTTATTTAAGGAAGAAGCAAAGGAACATAATTTTAAATTTTAATTGTCCTGATAAATAGATTTCAAGTGCTGATACCACATTCATAAAAGTAAAACAGGCATTTGAGATAAATGTATATAATTTGTTACCTTTCTCACATTTAGATCTTATTCATTTTTGGACATAGCCCTGTTTCTCTCTTTTCTGTTTAAAAAATCATATTTATTGAGCTATAATTTACATACAATGAAGTGCAATATTTTTAGACTACAGTTCAGTGAGTTTTGGCAATTGTATATGCCCTTGAATGTGTACCATCACCCCAATTCCCTGCTGCCTCTTTGCAGTCAGTCATAGCCTCCCCCACCCCCATCCTGTTTCAAGCAGCTACTGATTTGAAATGATCACTATAAATTATTCTGGCCTTTTCTAGAAGTTCATACAGTATGTACCCTTTTGCACCCAGCTTCTTTTGCTCAGCATAATGTTTTTGAGATTCATATTTCTTCCCTTTTATTGCTGACTGGTATTGCCCCATCCCCCAACTTTTAAAATACCATGTCTTCATAACTGTGACTTTGTAATAAAAAAACTGAACCTTCAGGGCAGTTTAGCATTAAAAGTTCTTGTAGCTTCTTATGTCTGCAGCTTTGGTTAACTTACTCAGTTTAGGGAATACTTGTGGTGATGCTCATTTTCCACACAACCTGATGCCTTCTGCGCCCTCCCCTAGTGCTACCTGCCTTTTCATTTCCCTTCATTCAGTAAGCAACAGTAAGTGGGCTGATTACATTGTGTACATCCTCGTGTGAAATGCTGGAAATGGTCTTTTTCCAAATAAAAAAGAGTTGGCCAGGATTTATTGACACTCTATAAATTTCTCTTGATCAAGACCCTAGTTGGGTGTTGTATAATATAAATTTTACTTTTAACTGTTTCCATGGTAACAATTACAGAGGAAAAAGGTGAGATTTATAGAACCAAGGTGATAGGAGTAGAATATCAGAAATCAAATTCTAATAGATTTTCACTAAGATTTTAAAATATAATAGATTTAATAGTTAGCGTTATTAACCAGAGACCAAGAACTCCAAGAGGATCTGAGAATGGCATTAAAAATCAAATAAAATCAGGAATGCTGATCAAAACCAGCACTCCCCTACCTCATCCTAGCCTAGTCCCAATTCCAACACTGTGGAGGCACTGACTTTTACTCTTAGTTTTTGCCTTCAGATATTTCTATTTCTTTATTTCTAAGTAAAATGTTTATACTATTTTTCTGTTTTAGATATTACATAAGAACTTCCAGCTGTGGAAGATGAGGACATAGTCCTCCTCCCCCTCTTTCCCCCACCCACCACATCTTCTTTCCTCAACCTCTCTATGTAGTTGTATCCTAGTTTTTGGTTAAATAGTGCCTACTCTATTATAACTACATAAATATTTATATCTAGGCAGCTTACTATATTTGCTTGTGTAATTTTGTTGTTGTTTTTCTTGGATTCAGTGGTTGAATAATCCTGTTGCTTTCCATTTGCATTGGTTCACCTCCAACCCCCTTCCCTGGATCCTGGGTTTCTTCCTTTTTTCTCTTGTATTGATGGAGCACATTCTTCACCAGCTTGGTGAGATAGGTGCATATAAGGTTCATTGTGTGACAGCTTGAATCCTGATACGTATTCTGATTCACAGTCATTTATGTGAGTCTTCTTCCCCCTCATCCCCCCACCTTTGAATTCTTGTACAAAATTATCTCCTTATCCCTTGTGTTCTTACATGTCAGAATAATGTGCCCTGGCTTGGGTCTTGTTTTTAATTCATTGTCTTGAACACTATGTGTAACTTTCAATCTGAAAACCCATTCTTTTGTTCTTTTATTACTGTTATTTTTTAAATATATTTTTATTGACTTCAGAGAGAAAGGGAGAGTGGGAGAGAGAGAGAGAGAGATAGAAACATCAATGATGAGAGAGAATCATTGATCAACTACCTCCTGCTTGCCCTACACTGGAGATCAAGTCTACAACCCAGACATGTACCCTGACTGGGAATCGAACTGTCACTTCCTGGCTCAGCCACTGAGCCACATAGGCTGGGTCTGGACCTTTTATTTTATTGGTACTTTTTTCACTTCATTTTTTTCATCTCCACCCCCACAAATTCCACTTTGACAAGTATTAGATTTCTTAGATCAATCCCCTCATTTTCTTTTATCTTCTTTTTTCCTATATATTGTTTTTTTAATGTTTTATTCTTTTGATATTTATTCAAGGATATCTTTTCATCTTTGTATTGGATTTTTTCCTATCATATTTTTAATTTTGAGGAGTTATTTTTCATTCTATTCTTTGATGTAATATCTTCTCTTGTTTTTCCTAAGAATCCTATATAATAAAAGGGTAATATGCAAATTGACCCTAACAGCAGAAAGACTGAGAATGACTGGTCACTATGATACACACTGACCACTGGGGGGCAGACACTCAATACAGGAGCTACCCCCTGGTGGTCAGTGCGCTCCCACAGGGGGAGCTCTGCTCAGCCACAAGCTAGGCTGATGCCTGCCAGTACAGTGGTGGTGGTGGGAGCCTCTCCCGCCTCCTCAGTAGCGCTAAGGATGTCCGACTGCAGCTTAGGTCTGCTCCCCTCTGGCAAGTGGACATCCCCCAAGGGCTCCCGGACTGCCAGAGGGATGTCTGACTGCCAGCTTAGGCCCAATCCCCTGGGGAGCGGGCCTAAGCCAGCAAGTGGTCATCCCCTGAGGGATCCCAGACTGCGAGAGGGCACAGGCCGGGTGAGGGACCCCCCAAGTGCACAAAGTTTTGTGCACCTGGCCTCTAGTATTAATTATAATTTTTTAAAAACTGTTTCCTGAATAGTTTGTTCCCCTCTTCCCTCCAGTACTTTTTCTTTTTATTTGTTTTGATTCCCATCTTTCCACGTTATAGGCTTTCCTTGACTGTCTGGTGATCCTTGGCTAACTATTTATATGTAAGAGGGAGGCACGATGAAGCTCAGAGCATGTTATGAGGCTTATTGAGTGACGCTTGGGCAGTTTCTTTGGTGAAAACTCAAATGTCACTATGTCACTACCTACAGGTCTTTTCACTGGTTACATATGCCAGGGCAAAGCCGTAAGTTCCCTGTGTTGGAACTAAAAGTCAAGCTGAGTGTTACTGGAGGCAACCTTGGAAGGAGGCTGAGGATCCACAAGGGGCCAAGGGTCTTACTGTTGCTTAGATCTACTTTGACTGGATCCTCCTGTTTTCTACCCAGTGCATTTCCATCTAGCATTTCCTGGCCCATCTCCTTTCTTGCTCAGCTCCTTCAGATCATAAACCTCCTATTTGGCTACTGTGGGGGGAGGGAATTTCCTGTCTGTGTGGTTTGATGAGGGTCTAGGGCTCACAGTAGTCCTTATAGAAAGTTCTAACCCTGCATTCTTGTCTTCAGTATTTTTGGTGCCTCCTTCTCAGGGTTAGCAAACCCCACTCCAGGTTAAGATTTTTCAGATTTCTCTGCTAATTAGTTACCAACCATCCATTGTCTTGCTAGCTTCCAAAGTTTTCTGCCATCTCTTATTTGCTTTTCCTTCCTTTCTGTTTTCTTTTCTTGGTCTTTATGCTTAAAAATCGCACTTTGGTGGGATTGCAAGAAGGAGTACAGGTAATGAGGACCGTCTTCAACAGATTTCCAAACCGGTCTCTGACCCCGCTAGAAGCTAATAATCATTCCATTATGCTTTTTAAGAGAGTACAAAATCTCCTTATTCAGGGTTTTTTTTTACATTGGAGAGTTTCATAAAAGTAGACTTAGGTATTATCCAAAAGTTATAGGAAAAGATGAGATGCTTTCTCAAGAACTCTTCTAATGTTAGCATTCTATCTTCATGTTTTCCATCTTTCTTGGGAAAATGTTGAAATTTAGCGTTGTAATTACCAGAAGATTAGCATCGTTATGTGCAACACCATACCAAATCTTATAGAAGAAGACAGATTTTCAATTTTCAAAAACACTGTAGATGTTCTAGGGTGATGGAAAGGACCTGCATATTGATGAGTTAGATTATACAGCTGTATTCGTTTGCTAAAACTCATCAAATGATACACTGGAGATGTATTCACACATAAATTTCACCTCAAACAAAAACCAAAAACAAATATTAAATTCTAACTTAAATAAAAACACGTGTAAGGAATGTCAAAAGTTTATGAAAGTAGTTCTGTGAATTGTGAAAAGTCATTTTTCATTAGAGTAGAAAATGAGAAAGCACCCATCAAGTATGTACATGTGACTACCCGCCCTGCTCCTCTTCGCCGCCTCCTGTTGGTCAGGCCATGCCTGTGCTGGCCACTAACTGTGCAGATCTACAAGAATGCCAGCCATTGTGTTATTTAATATTTAAAAATCAAAATGAATGGAAAAAAGGATCCTAGGTATGTTCCAATTCCTTTTACTTGGAGATTATCTCGGGATGTGTCTATCCTTTTTTTGGAAACTGGTCTTCTCTTCATTTTGGTCAGTTCAGATGAATGCCCAATTTCTTAGTTGTAGACTTTAGTTGAAGTTCTTGGTCTGGAAGGATGGATCAAGTGACCTATCAGCTGAATAGAAGAGATGCAGGAAAGAATCGGCATGAAAGAATAGTGCAGATTCTCATATCAGTCATTCCTGTTTGGATATATTAGCATCAGCATGGTACTTCCTATTTTCAGAGTGCTTTATATCCTAAGTAATTTTTTTTCCCAGATGCATTCAAAGGTAGGTTGGGAGTAATTTTCTCATTTTACAGGAGAGAAAACACAGACACTGAGAGGTGGAGATGTACCCAAGTGATTCAGTGTCAGAAACAGAATTAAAAATTTTCAAGCAGAGCGGTCAAGGGGAGTGAGTGTGCGAGTGAGGAATTGATACATACAGTAACAAAGAACAACACTACAGATATGGGTTTAGACTGGTAAGACTTTGGACTGACCCAATCTTTTAATTGTAGGTCAAAGAAAATCTGCTTTCATGCAAGATGCTGCTGCACTGCAAACGGGATGAGCTTCGCAAACTGTGGATTGAAGGAATTGAACATAAGCATGTCTTGAACCTGCTGGATGAAATTGAGAATATCAAGCAAGTGCCTCAGAAGCTGGAACAGTGCATGGCCAGCAAGCACTATCTCAGTGCCACCGACATGCTGGTAAGAGAAGCCCGAGCTAATGGCCATTTCTGCTAAGACAGCAAAGCACTCCCTTTTGTTCTCTCTGAATTCTGTGATTCACATAGTACATTACCAACTGCCCTCTTGGGGTTCACGGTTCTTTGCAGGTAAAGCCTGGCTGGTTCTCTTCCTAATTCCAGCGTTTGAAATGGTAGACGATTATTATTTATGTATTGTCTGCCTTTGGAACAGTAGTAAGAAATCAGTACTTTAATCATGTTGGAATAGTAATGAGAGGTGTTTTAGCTTCAGAGGGAGCTAGTTAATGAATCATATTTTAAAGAATGAAATATGCATGAAAGAGACTTAAAGGAGATTTATATACTAGATGTTCCACAAAATCTTTGAAGGAATTTTTACTTTAGGGCTTTGTTTTTTCCCTAAATTGATAAGAAAGAAAATAATTTTAGAAGTGCCTTTGTAAAGCAAGAGTAGTCCACAGCCTAGCCTTTAGCCTCTATCTTAGCCCATTCTGCCACATTTTGGGAAAAAATATATGTATAAATCAATATATATATATTGATTTCAGAAAGGAAGGGAGAGGAAGAGAGAGATAGAAACATCAGTGATGAGAGGGAATCATTGATCAGCTGCCCCCTGCATGCCTCCTCCTGGGGATTGAGCCTGCAACCTAGGCATGTGCCCTGATTGGGAATTGAACTGTGATCTCCTAGTTCATAGGTCGACACTCAACCATTGAGCCACACCAGCTGGGCTAGATGGACTATATTTGGATTTTCTTTTCCACAGTAGGTGAAAGTCCCTTACTTTTGTTTTACTAAATTAGATTGGCTATGATACTGGAAAAATCACTTGAAAGGAATTCGTGGGAGAAACAGGTTAAATCCTCTAAGTGGTTCTAATTCATTCAGACTGTCAAGAAGAATTTTGCTGTAAGTCCTTCATAAGAAGCTTTTAAGGAAATTTTGTAACCTAGAGGTGAGATGTGCCATGATATTCTCTTCTGAAACCTGCTTATGTGATAGACATGAATAGTCAATTGCCACTGGGGAAGGAGGTTAGTAATGGTCTGCTCTTGGGAGTGCCAAAAGAATTGGCTGTTTTCAGTATCTTGTTTATAGTGACATCTTTCTTAATAATGACTGTAGGGTGACTGACAAAAAAAAAGTCACCTTTTAGCTTTACTTTTGGTTAATGGATTAGAATGTGTATATGTGCTAAATGATCAAGATTCAGCAATCAGAATAGATAAGCCTGTAGAATATATTTAGTATATACACATGTATTTGAATCATGATTCTTTGTAGTGGGCCTGCTTTTAAATAAGTGCCATATATTAAAAATAGGTAGAATTTATTTCTGTGTTAATTATGTTCTTTTTGGATTTTAGATTTTTATTTTATGGTTTTATTACTTAAGGGCTAATTTATTTACTAAAGAGCTAATCAATGATGAATAGTGGTTTTTTTGTGTATTTTTTACCTATTTTCTTAAGAATTTCATTAAATACATCTTTAAATTCTTGGTTGCAAGTTACAGAAATCCAATTAGGTAAAAGAATTGCTTGACTCATGTAACCAATCTGTAAGGACAGGCGTACATGTGGAATACCACCTCTGTGTTCTTTAGCATGTCATCTTCATTGTTTTATTGGAGAAGTTTCTTCCACTGTGGGTGGGATTTGGGTGTTTGGGGAGAAGGAGGAGTGTAGGCTATAGCCTACATCTCTTCAGGTATGAAGAGGAAAATAATTTTTGTTCCTAATTAAAAAATTACAGGGGTAGGCCAAGGCCAAGTGGCTCAGTTGGTTGGACATAGTGCCATGTACCAAAAGGTTGCTGGTTCGATTCCCAGTCAGGGCACATGCCCAGGTTACTGGCTCGATCCCTAGTAAGGGTTGTGCAGTATGCAGGAGGCGGCTGATGTTCTGCTCTCACATGGATGTTTCTCTTTCTCTTTCTTCCTTCCATATATCTGTCTCTATCTCTATCTATATCTATGTATCTACTTGTATATTTATGTATCTAAAACTATGTGGTTGCAACTTATATTGTTGATACATTTTGTCTGCTTGCCCTAACTGATTTGGCTCAGTGATAGAGCATTAGCCTGTGGACTCAAGGGTCCCAGGTTAGATTCCGGTCAAGGTCATGTACCTTGGTTGTGGGCATAACCCCAGTAGCGGGTGTGCAGGAGGCAGCTGATCGATGTTTCTCTCTCATCGATGTTTCTAACTCTCTATCCCTCTCCCTTCCTCTCTGTAAAAAAATCAATAAAATATATTAAAAAAAAGAATTTTTTTTCTATCTCAGTGTCATAAAGAGAATCTCCTATGTGTTCTTCTTAAATCCATTTAGAATTTATTTTCATATGTGGTATGAACTGAGGATCTAATTTTAACTTCCATATAAATAGCCACTTGGCCCAGACCATTTGTTGAATTCATTTTCTACTGATTTAATGACATCTTGGTCACATATATGCATGGCTGTTTATGAGCTCTTTATTTGTTCAGTTGGTCTCGCTGTTTTAATTAATATAATTTTATAATATATCTTGGTAGCAGGTGAAGATGCTACTTCACCTTGCTGTTCAGAATCGTCTGCTATTTTTGGCCCTTTACTCTTCTAGATGAATTTTAGTATCAGTTTGTTAAGTTCCACAAAAAGTGTGATGGGATTTTGATTAAATGTAAGAGAATTTCATCTTTGTAAAACAAGTCTTTCAATGAACATGACATGTCTCACATTTATTGAAGTCTTTATTTATGTTGTTTGTAATAATGCTTAGTAATGTATTCCTTAGAGATACTGTATTACATACATAATATTTATTTTTGAGTATTATATTTTTGTTTTTTAAAACAATGGCTAATAATTACAATTTCTAGTTATTTGTTGCTACTATATAGGGATGCTGTAGATTTTTTCTTTTTTAATTGATTATACATTTCCCTGAAACTAATCCCAATTCTGTCTGCCTGGAAAATGATGAGCTAGTCTTTAAAACTTGGCTTAAATTTTATCATCTCTGACTATGCTAGGTAATTAGATACTTTTCTTTAAAAAATTATGTATTTTTATTGTGGTATGAATACTTAACATGTGTAGATGCTATTCTTTGTTTTCGTAAGCTGTATGTATTTCTTTGTAATTTAATTACTTTTGTTTATATTGTAGATCATTGAGGGCAGGGGCTGTATCTTATCTATTTTTGTCTGCCCTGTACTTAACATAGTCATATAGTCATAGTTCACAGGTCATTAGTCAAATGGTGAAAGTGTTTCATATCACTAAATAGAAAAAGGCATTTTACTCTCTCTAGAAGCTCTGATCTGATTTTCTTCTCCCATTTTTTTGTTTGTTTGCTTGCTTTTTAATGGTTTTGTACTTTCTAATCTTTTCTTTTTACAACAAAATAATAATTATAATAGCTAATATATATTGAATACTCACTATGTGCCGGTACCATTTTAAGTATGTTACATTTGGTAATACATTTAATTTTCCCAACAACCCCAGGGGAGGTAGGTTTCCAGTACCATCCCCATTTTCCAGATGAGGTAGTTGCCTTGCCTCATCTGGGGCGTTGGCATATGCTCATATACAGTGAAGATTTCGTGGAGGTAAGATTTAAAGTGCTTAAGAGGTTGGAAATATTCTTCAATTTGGCCTCTTGTTTATAAGACTGAAGAGTAAGGTCTGTAATTGCTCTTTCAGTGGCCTTCATATGAAAAAATAATCACATTTCCTTTCCCAATGGTTATGTGATATTAGAAGTAAAATCTACTTAAGGCATCTGAGGAAAGTGAAGACACAATAATGTCATCTTTCAAAACCCTCTGATTTCCTTGGATTCATTTAACAAAAGGTTTTGCATTTTTATTTTGAGGCAGGTGCAGATGCCCAGTAATTTAATCCCTAGTCAGGTTATAAATCCAGAGTAACTACATCAGTGGTGACCCTGGCTCTTGTCGGCTCCTGCAGTTCCCACTTCAGCATTAGACTGGTCTGATGGCTCTAGACTTGGCTTCTAGATGGGATATTTAGTTCTTCCTTTGATACAATAACCTGAGTATTGCATAAAATAATTAAATTGTCAAGGCTGGCAATGTCTGCAAATAGACATGGCCTTTTGTTTTCTTCTTCAAGGTAAACAGCTGTTGTTCTTACAAAAAGCTAAAAGTGATCCAATAAGAAGCCTGCATCCATCACATGGAAATCAGAGACTTGATTTATAGTGTAGCCTGTAGCTTTGTGATATGTACAGTTTAAATTAGACCTTTGCAGTCATTGTGCTGGGTTGATGCAAGCACATTAATGACATAATTTCTGGTTGCTGCATCACATTTCTGCAGTCTGTTCTTTGTATTCCACTCACATTAATTGAAGTAATTTTGCCAGTGAAGCGTGTTTCAAACCTCTGCATTTAAATTGAAATTTTAATTCCCTTATTGTCTTGAAAAGACGGCTGAAGATGCCTTGTTACAGGTTTCATTATCACTCAAAACACTCCAGCTGCTGGTTCTAATGTACAATGACTGATTAATTCTGGGAAGAATTAGTAATGTAAGAATAGCAGCGGCTTCCCCATGGCATGAGCTAACCAGGAAGGTATTTCATGATAGTTAATATTTTTATGAACTTTTTTTTAAGGGAACTTTGTGTAGAAGTCTGCATCAGAACTGAAATTGCACAGATGAGCTTTGAAAATCACACAAGTTATGATTTATCAACCCATAGAAGTCAGTTCAATGATTTCATTCAATCAGTGGGAGCCAAGCCAGTGCGAGAAGGTTTGAGGCACTTTAGCTGACAGTCACAAGCTTGTGACTAAAATAAATTTTTTCATTTCTAAGTCTTCCAGGGAGTGGAGAGATTTTGAATGTCTCTTAATCATTTTGCCTTTTTATTATTTATATACCTTTTAAAAAAGAATCCATAGCTGTATAGTCAGATAAGAATTGTTCTGATAATTATAATAATAACTTGTATGCCGTTGACTAGCTTGATGATTTA